GAGAGAGAGAGAGAGAGAGAGAGAGAGAGAGAGAGAGAGAGAGAGAGAGAGAGAGAGAGAGAGAGAGAGAGAGAGAGAGAGAGAGAGAGAGAGAGAGAAAGGAGAGAGAGAGAGAAGAGAGGGAGGGAGAGAGAGAGAGATGAAGAGAGAGAGGAGAGAGAGAAGAGAGAAGAGAGAGAAGAAGAGAGAAAGAGAGAGAGAGGGAGAGAGAGAGAGAGAGAGAAGAGAGGAGAGAGAGAGAGAAGAGAGAGAGAGAAGAGAGAGAGAGAGAGGAGAGGAAGAGAAGAGAGAGAGGAGAGAGAGAAGATGAGAGAGAGAGAGAGAAGAGAGAGAGAGAGAGAGAGAGAGAGAGAGAGAGAGAGAGAGAGAAGAGAGAGAGAGAGGAGAGAGAGAGAGAGAGAGAGAGAGATGAGAGAGAGAGAGAGAGAGAGAGAGAGAGAGAGAGAGAGAGAGAGAGAGAGAGAGATGAGAGAGAGAGTGAGTGGTAGGTTGGAGGAGAAGTCTACTATCCCCACAAACAGTTTACAGTCCCTGTTTGCATTAATCGGCGGCCACAAGAGTTTTTTTCGACAAAACGATGGCAATAACATCCAACTCTCCCTCTTTCCTCAGCCTTTGAGTTGACATAGTCCTTTTGCGGCAACTTTTTGGCGGTTGGGTCAGACGACGTGGATATTCCAGCAATGGCTTTTGGGGCATGGTAAGAGCGTCTATAGGTAGCTAAGAAAAACTCTTTGTAAGCGCCATTTTAATAGATATTTCATTTAATACGAATCTTTAATAACTATTGCATGTCATATACCTTTCTTTTTCAGTGTGCTTTTTATTTCTTATATTTTTTTATATTTTCTATTTTTTTTCTTCAGTGATGAAACATCTGGAGTTTGAAGGTAAGTTTGTCTTAACCAGCAAGTTAAGAAATAGTTTAGGGCTGCTTCGATGGTTGGATAGTATCACAAGCTGGTTGAAAAACGATCAAGTGGCCACGGCTTTAAGGATCAGAATCTTTGTCTTGCCTCTTGTGCTGTACCACATCACTAACGTCACTTGTTTCATTTTCTAATATTGACTGAAGTTATTCTACCGTTTCTAATTTGTATTTGTCACATTACTCCCAATGAATGATTTTGTAACATCATAGTGCAGTCACTAAATGCCAATTACCCAATCAGAATAAAGCTTACATAAACATGAACTTCATTCCAGGAAATCGTAGAACATGGAACCGTCGCCCTTATTTCATAGAAGAGGTTTTGGCGACGCATCATCACAGAAGTTGCCAGAATGAAAAATGAGCTCGAAGGGAAATTTTAAGGTCACATTCCAAGTAAAATATGAGTATAACCTGGGAAATTGGGACTGATAGTGAAAATGCCTGTAAAAAAATCACAGAATTCATCATTAGGTTTACCTTCGATCGTTCTGCTGTGAAAAGGAAGGCATAAAAAATGGATATACAGGTAAAGCAAATAACTAATATGATAATAGATGCTTCACCTCCACCCACGCCTGTGGTATCGCACACATGGCGAATGAAAACAGTGACAAGCTATCACCTTCAATAGCTTTTAACTTTTCACTCACCCAATACTTGTCCAGAGGTTACCAGCTATGTTTTCCACGTGATCATACTCTTACATTACTTGCCATTACTTGCCACTCTTTATGTACTCCATACTCCAGACGTGAGTTATAAAGTTTCTTACATTACTTGCCATTACTTGCCACTCTTTATGTACTCCATACTCCAGACGTGAGGCATACTTCACCTAATCCACTGGCCAACTGGTGTGCCTTCTCCTGCCTCTTATGAGTTACTTTTGGAGGCTTTCCTGTCATCAACCTCCACAAAAGAAGACAGGCGACGTGCCAGTTGCCAGCTGCATTTTCCAGGTTGGATTCTTTAGGCATAAAACTGCTTCTGCGTCATCCTGAACGGCAAAGGCTTATCACTCTTGTTTAAACTTTGTTTAGCTCTGGGGATCTTGTGCAATGATACTTAATGTCTTGGTTAATTCCCTTATCACCATCTGGTCCAACTGTTTTCCAATACGGTTCCTTACGACTACATACTGACCATTTGTTTTTCATTTTCATTTCAGATAGATCAATAGATAGAAATGTCAATTTTCTTCCGAATTTAAGACTAAATTCCTAGTTCTTCATAAAACCGCCTGATCTATCCTTAAGGTGCGATTCCATCTAAAGCGCTTTATCCACTGGACATGCTTCCTAATTTTTGTTTCATTGGCAACTAACTAGACATGACCCTTTTCACTTTACTACATTTCCTTCTAGATCTTTGCATTTCCCGTAATTTTTCGTTAGATAACGGCCCTTTCTTTCCAGTGTATTAACGCCCTTTTTTATTTTCATATTTCCCCGAATCTTTCCTTTCTCCCATGGTTCATTATTTTCCCTCTTTTATATTTTGCTTATTTTTTTCAGTATAAGTACTGTTGGTCTGGTGGAATTACAGTATTGATTCCTGTAATATTACTGACTTCTATACTTCAAGTAAAATTGCCAAGTTCACTATACCTGCGGTCGTTTCCAATCACTATCTACCTTAAGCCTTAAATCAATGAAATATTCCCCATGAGTTTTGTAACGCCCTTTATAATTCTGCATAGACTTTCTTTCATAATGTCTCCTTTCACCCTGCTTCTGCTGCTTTCTCCGTCTGGTTATCAGTGTCTTCCTTCGTGTGATATTTTTCAATATCTACCCTGTATTTTTTCTCTTTATCGTGTTACTTTTCTTTTCATTTTTTAGTTTTTTTTTTTTCTTCTGCCACCCAACACTTATCTAGGACGGCCACATATGCGTTGCTTCGTTATTTAACCATCTTTCTTTATTTCATCCTTTATTTATACCTGCACTATTACCATCGTCATTGTTATGACTATAATCATCATCAACTTCAATCATCATTATTATCACTATCGGTTTTAGTTTAACTGTTACTATCATCACCATTATCCTCATCATTATCACTGGTGTAAGCATCATTATCATTGATGCTAACATCACTGTTATTAATACATTTGTTATTAATACGATCGACATTTACATTACTTTCAGTATCTTTATCATATTTTTGTATCGTCCAGGAATGGGATGAATGACGTTACCATCAGCATTTCCGTTATTAATACGATCGACATTTACATTACTTTCAGTATCTTTATCATATTTTTGTATCGTCCAGGAATGGGATGAATGACGCTGTGTTCAGCCTTTGGGGATGGAGGTAAATTTCAAGTCTTCAGACATTTACTCAGAAATTTATTCCATTTGCAAATACATGTTCAGCATATATTGATCCTTAATGCATGCACAGACCCAGATATTCGTACAGTACTGACCTCGTGCACACTACTATTATTGCCACATACACTAAGTGAGTGAATATAATATAAGTAATCTCATTCATTTACTTATGCCTTCTCACCAAAGAGTATACCATTACATTACGTTACATTACATTACACGGTAGTTTATATCTGTATAGATGTTAGTCTAAGTACCTTTTTGGGTGGTTGAAAGCGAAAGGCAGGATCTTCCTTCTTTATTCCACGTTTCCATTTCCAGCTCGTCTCTCATCCAGTCACAGGTCGGTGCTTCATCATAATGACGTGGGAGTATCTTTTGCATTAGCTCCAACTCGCGTATCTTAGATATCATATTGTTCATTTCGATTTTGCGTCTATGATAATCACTTAACATTCGTGTCAAAATCGGGGACTTTTTGTTCGTTCCGTATTTAAATTACCTTAAATTAAATCGTAGTCTGTCATTAGGTGGTATTTTCTACCTTAATGGCTTCATAACTTTCTATTGTCCAAAGGATATTTATTTTTCAAAATTATGTTTCAATAATGTGTAAAAGTATAAGAAGCAGAATACTGTGACAGGATGAGTGACACATGATGTAAGTTTTCTGAATTTTTTTACACATAATCCCATATTTCAGATTGTCATAATGAACAAGAAATGCTAAAAAAATCCTCAATTCCATTTAATCAGTTTAACAGCTTGAATAACATTGCGAATTTAATTTTTCAAATACTTTTCTCATAATATGGTTGTCTGATGATATGATTGGCTAAGCTTCTGTCAGCCTCCTTCAGTCTATTATGTACCAATTGATAATCTTGTCTTGTTTGTTTTCTATAATTTGATTACTGACGATATTTTATCCGACAGGTTATCCCCTTAACCTTTCTTCTAATCCAATCCCCTTAATTACACCAATTAGTAATGATACTTTTCCCGGTCCCCTAAATGCCCCGTTCCCTAAATCCACCGGTTCCTACTGGCTCTTTCCTCCGTCGCCGTCGTAGGACTCGCCGCACTCCCCGACGGCCTTGTTGCCTTCGCCGCACTCCCCGACGGCCTTGTTGCCTTCGCCGCACTCCCCGACGGCGCCTACTCCCGACGCCTTCTTGCCTTGCACTCCCCGACGGCCTTGTTGCCTTCGCCGCACTCCCCGACGGCCTTCTTGCCCTTGGGGAGCGCGTCCGGGAAGGCTTCCCGCGGCGGCACGAGCGAGAACATCGTCACATTCCGAGCGTATTGCCTCGACTTCCGGAAGTTCTCGTCCGTCCCGTGCAGCCGGTCCAGGATGCCCAGCACGCCGTAACACTGGTTGAATCTGCAAGTGGTTCAGAGGGTTTGGTGGATTTCTTGGCTTTTAAAAGGGTGTTTGGATACTGCTTTCGCTGGATGTGGCTGTTTTAGGCATGGCCAAAGTGTGTTTAAAGGCAAGAGGAGTTGAAAGATGAAGTATGTTTCGCAAATATTAGTTCGCCAACGAGGAACCAGAAAACCTGCCACTGAAAACATATGAAGGGAAGAACAGATAAAAGCCACGATAATTATGAAGTGTGTAATCAATTACATGAAATACGTGGGGAAGAAATATGATAATATATCAATCTTAGCCGGGCAAATGGTAAATGGCTCTATTCAGATTTCAACTTCGTAGGCATCGGGAA